GGACCAGGTCCGTCGGGGTAGTCCATGGACCTGGGGTCAGCGAAATGTACCAACCCGGCTGCCTGGGTCCACTAGCCCCTATGGTTTTACCAGGCAGCCAATATGCTATCTATTTTTAATTTTTCTCTTTTTTTTGTTCGGGAGAAACTCGGAGCTTTCGCTTTAGCATGAAGAATTAATTTGAACATGCGGTAGTGCAGTGAAGCACGTCTTTGAAATTTTGATAATTTTTTTGCTTTTAAATAGGTTTCTTTGCCTCAGCTTGAAAGAAAATTATTGTTACTGAATTTCCTTTCACATTTCTTTCATTTTGTGCCCTGTTTTGGGGAATTTTAGTTTTTAAAAGTGAACAGTATTTTTGCATGCTGGATTTCTGCATATTTAATTTACAGCAACCTCTGCGGTTTGTTTGATTAGTTTATTCGCTTCGTTCAAATATATTTTTTGGAGTCTTATTCAGCTACTACAGAACTGCTGAGAAAAGAACTAAGTGGTCACCAATTTAGCACAGTTGAAATACAATTGATCTCAAAATAATTTTGCTTTTGTCGTCTTTTTGACTTACAACTTTCATCTTTCTTTTGCAGCGCTGTAATATTTTGCAGTGCAGCAAAGAAATTATTTGATTTCTTGTTTTCAAATTGGTTTTTACATGTGTCTGCCTTATTTTCCGTTGTTTTCTTAAATGTTAGCCGTTATAGTATAAGAATGGAAATTCTGTCATATTTGGTTTCAATTTGTCTTCCAAAGTCAATAATAACTCATTTTTGCATGTTGCCACTGCGTTTATAATTCTTTTGTTATTTCTTTCCGTCATCATTGCATTCTTTTCATTTGTCTTACTTTTATGTTATCAATATTCTGTTAGGTTTTTTCGCATAATTTTGTTTTGTTTCAGTCCCCTCTTGTATGCATTTTTCTAGTCTATTTGTGCATTTTCATTGCGACGCTACAGTTTCCTGTTTCATTTACCGCCTTCCGCTTTCCTCTTTCGTTTTCCTAGCTGTTCTTGTCATATAATGTTTGTAAGTATCATCTACCTTTGGCTCGTTATTTCTTTTTTTTATTGTATTCGTTCATAACTTGTGATTTATTTTGTTTGTAGCAATCGCTCGCTTTTCATCGCTTTCTTCCCTTTCATCGTTTATCACCACACTCTGTTGTTTGAATTGTACATTTCGTCATATTGATTAAAGCACATGTAGCGTTTTGAACATCTGACTACAATATCACATATTCAATTTTCTCGGGTTCTGTTGTGCATTTTGTCACGCGGCATTGAAGAAATAATATAATTTCTTGTTTTCTCATCAGTTTTATACATCAAGTTGAGTTCTTTTTGTTGATATTTTTTAATATTTTGGCTCTTCATCTATTCAGCTTAAAATAAACGATGTCTTGAAACCTAATCTTGTGAGTGGGGTTACTGCGCATATGGTTTATTTTAAGTACTTGTGCTTGTTCTGAAATGATAAAAAATTGTCGGGATTCTAGGGGTGGGTTGCATGCAATTTCCTTCGGGCGTCAGTGGGTTAACATTGCATAATAATATTATTGACAAAGATTTTGAATATAACAGATCAAGGTGATAATTATAAAGTGCCTGAGAGAGAGTCTTACTCTTAGCCTGAGGTTGAAGATGTTATATTTGTTGAAGCCGCTGGTAAGGGACCTTGGGGTTGCTTGCAAGAGCACATTCTTGTACGTGAACAGCTCTACTAATGACCACTTTTTTGCATGCTTCTACTGAATTTTCTCTTTGTAATATTTTGACTGTGGGAGAAATTGTTGTTTAATAAAAGTGTGCTCCATGTCAGTCATGAAAATGTATAAAATATATCATCGACATCTACCAAAACTCAACTTTGCTTTCAGCCTTAAGTTCTGAAGGGCATGTGCGAATGGTAACCATTAAGTATCATTTGAAGTACATAGTATTTACAGCGTATATCTTTTGTGTTTTTTTTAGTGAAGTTGAACCTCTTCTTAAAATGGCAGCAGACAAAGGTGTGGAGGAGGCCAAGAAAGCCCTGAAGGACCTGTATCCACACAGATACACATGACATGTGGGTTAGTGAAATTTGGAATGTCATACAGGGTTGTCGCTAAGTGCCAGCTGTCGACAAAATTAGCCAGTTGGATTTTGGCTGGTGATCACTTGGTAAAGGGTAACAAGTGAAGTTTAGGTCACACATGTACAATCATTTCCACATTGAACTATATATATTGTCTAAATGAAAAGATTTATAACATTTGTATAATTCCTGACCACCTTGAGTATCAGTGCCATGAGTTACGTATAAATTGAAATAAAATCTTGTTTTGAGCACATTTTTAAGGTCCTCTTTTCCTGCATCTGCCATCTTGTAAGCGCAATGCTCGGTAGCCCTGCATTCAAGACATTGCAAAAGATTTAGAACAAAATTTTGTTACTAGTTTCTTTAGGTCGCAAATATGCACTTTCCGGGAGCTGGGTCACTGAAAATCTCAGCTGTCATTTCTATTTCCATAGCTACAACCCTATTCATTTCTTATCTGTAAATGTTTAGAAATGTACTATGTTTCATAAAGGTAAGACACTGATTTAATGGCTGATACTTTATTTTAAGATGCTTAGTCCATTGTCTTAAATAAATTGGTGACTCAATGTTACTCGCTCGCTGATAGAGCTTCAAAACAAGATCTCGACAGTGTCTCGAGCTGGAAACAGCGGACTAATCAACAAAAACAGTCAACACTTTCGACCATGTGCTTTCTTGTTTATTACACGTATACCACAAGGGCTATGGGAGTTACAACTCTATGGGGATTATGGGTCACGACCCTCACACTCTCCTCCCCTCAAAAAAATGTCCTCAGTGACATGTCAAAACTAAACTGCTTACAATATCTCTGAGTCCTATGAATCTTATACGTAATACTTCTGGTAGACATAAATCAAATTCATTTCGGCGGGTTGCGTGGGTCCACAGAACACATGATAAACAGCTAATCTTCAAGTTATCACACTTTGTAAAAGTGTTGACAGAAATCCTTGTTCCTTCAATGATGGCACAAAGTACTTATTACGTTAATGCTAACATGTTCACTTGGTCCTATTTTTTGATAAACAACAAAGTTAGAAAAACAATGTTGTCATGCAGTGTCTTGGTAATGGTTTATATATCCTCCAAAACTGTCCTAGTGATTACCAGCTAACTGGGTACAAAGGAATAGTTGGAAATCATACTGTGGACAGTACCAAAGTGGTTGGTGGTGAGGTGGCATGCCTAGCCACATTGGAAGCAGATTTGGTGCAGCTGAAACTGTATGCATATGATTAGTTACTCCTGGATAAAATGAAGGCTGGCCAGGGACATCATACGTCGTATGGACAGGTGGTCTTCTGATTTGTGGCTGTCAGGTTTCGACGGGTTGAGATGTAGGAGATTGGGACCGCTCGGGTTCTACACGAGGAGTGTACTCATTCCGCAAGTCATTGACAGGTAGCTCAGGTTCTACTTCCAGTAAGTGGTCAGCAGTACCATCGGTAGCTACAGAATCCTGTGTACCTAACTCTTCTGTTCCTGGGTGTTCAACAGTGTTACTTGGATGTTTGACCTGCAGTTGGTCAGGTGTGAAGGATGGGATGTCTTCATCATCATTGGCCTTACTGACTGGACAATTTGTAGGTTGATTCTGCTTGCTGAGCTTTGATGAAGGATTTCTATTTCGCTGTCCAGCACTGTCTTTATCCCTGGGTCTTACGTCAGCCTTTTCACTGGCAAGTATGTGTAAGGTAACAGTAAGTTGCGGTGCAGCACTCTTTTCTTTGTCCTAGACTCGGATCAGACTTCGTATACTGGGGTGTCTTGACCTTTTTGTTCTACGATGACATACACTTCATTTTCCCAATACGATTGCAGCTTTCATGGTCTTCCTCATTCACTCAAGTTTTGGACAAACACTCTATTGCCTGGTTCCAGCACAATCCTGCACACCTTCTTGTCATACTGCTTCTTCCCCTGCTGGGCATTCCACTGGGCAGTTTCTGAGGCAATCTTGAATGCCTCTGACATAGCATTAAATTTTCTCCACTTCTTTACCTACTTGGGGTAGTAATGAAACCCACTGGGAGGCTTAAGATTGAACATCAGATCAACAGAAAGGCGTGGGGCTCTCTCAAATAGTAGGAAGAATGGTGCGTAACCTGTGGCATCATTCTTTGTACAGTTGTACGCATGTACCACTTTATTCAGATGATTGCACCATCTGGACCTGTGCTTTTCAGGCAGAGTCCTGAGCATGGATAGGAGTGTCCTATTGAGTCTTTCTACTTGTCCATTTCCTTCTGGATGATACGGTGTTCTTCTAGAGTGACGGGCTCCAATAAGTTTGTCCAACTTGTAAAACAGTTTATTTTCAAATTCACCGCCCTGATCATGGTGGATTGTTTCTGGGAGTCCAAACCACAAAATGAAATCATTGTATATCTTTTCTGCAACTGTTTTTGTAGACTTATCTTTGGTTGCATAAGCCTGAGTGTATCGTGTGAAATGATCCATAACGACCAAAATGTATTCATAACCTCCTGTACTTGCTTCAAGGTGGAGGAAATCCCCTGATACCATCTGAAAGGGTGCTGTGAAATTAACTCAGTCTTGTCTTCTTTAACATCTTTGAATGGCAGTGGAATGCCAACTAATATCTCAATGATGGCTTGGAGAAAGGTCACATTTTCCTCTTCCTCAAATTACCTGTTAACTCTTTCTCAATAACATTAGCGATTTTATTGATGATCGGAACCTTTGTTTTGTCGTTCAATTCCTCTTCATTTATCTTCAAATGCTATTGCAACTAGCTAGGTATTTTCCATGGTTGCTTTGCACAGTTCTGTGTGGATTCTTAATTGAAGCTCCTCTGCCATCTCTTACTTGAACTTTTATCGTGACACTTAACTCGACAACATTGTTTCCCCCAGACCACCCCATTGCGGGAATCCCGCGTTGCAATCTCTATGGTCCCAGGAAAAACAATAAAAGGGCCAATTTGGCCCTTTCCTTTTACACGGCTGCAGGCTTACCACAGGCATAGTATTTTAAAAGCCATCCCAGAGCTCAAAATTGCGAACGATACGGTCGCCAATACAACTAACATTTCATCTATGGCAACCAAAAATTCTGGTTTAGTCGCCATATAGGCGACTACATTTCTCTGTGTTGACAATCAATAGTGGTTATTTTCTCACACATTATGTCCTTCTAGAAAACCATATTGAAAGATCTTTGCTTCTAAAACATTCAACATAAGAAAAGAAGTCGGTCCATCCTTTTGGTTGCTGTATTGATTCTCTTATATCGGAAAACTTCTAAATGGCTGACTGTGCTTGAAATCACCCTATAATGCATTGCAAACCCTTGATGATTGACTACGTCATGTATGCCAATGGATAGTTTTCTTGAATGCACGGGTCCAAAAAATGTGCATTTGGCGACTTTTTTTTACCAATTATTATTTATTGGCCCCTTTCTCAAAAATTGGCCCCTATAAAAGGTCTTCAGGGACAACTTTGGCCCTCAAGTAAAATTTCTGGCTGAAACACTGGATAATACAGGTTTTTAGTCTCTATCCTCGTCTGGTTGGTTGCATCATCATCAACAGAACAGTTCAGTGGGTGTGCAGCCATATTTGCATCACTCGTTGACATCGGCTGGTGTTTGGACATGTAAATGACGGCATTCTTTCCTTCTATCAGCTGAACTGCCCGGTTGGAAACACCAATTTTGTTACTTGCTCGCTGATAGAGCTTCAAAACAGGATCTCAACAGTGTCTCAAAAGGGAAACAGTGGACTAATCTGCAAAAACAGTCAACACTTTTGACCATGTGCTTTCTTGTTTATTACACTTCTACCACTAGGGCTTATGGGAGTTACAACTCTAGGGGGATTATGGGTCACGACCCTCACATCAATTTATTGATTCGATCCATTACTGTATTTGAAGTACCAATACAAATATGTAGGTATGCATCATAGGGTGATTTTACAGTTTATGGTTGATTCAAAGTTAAGTACTGGTAAGTCTGGATCATCAGTGGTACAGCACACATTCTCTCTTGTGATCATTTTTATAGGCGTAACCATAAAGGGTATGATATAACTCATTTTTTAAATCCTAATTATTATTATACAAGTTAATATATTTGAAGGAAATCAAAGCCGTATTCTTCAGCGAAGTGCAAATTTCTCAATTGGTTTGAGATATCTTTGATGGTATTTTTAATGCTCAACTGAAACTTTTTAAGCTGTATATAAATACAATAATAAAATTGTTTCTCTGTTTTCATTCAGTTGCTTTCCTTGCTGTTACTGTTAACAGACACATTCAGCATGTCCTCTTTTGTACATCAATTTTCAGGTTATTGAACCAAGACATGGAATTCCTTCCACAATGAAATATAATTTATTACCAGGAAGAGCAATGTACCAGTATCTAATATTGTAAATAACTGCAGTTTAACTACAGTGTTAATATATTTTGGGGGTTATGCCACAGCAGAGGAATCTGGTTTTAGCACTGGGTGGGGTTTGATGCAAATGGTCAGTGGATTTGTGGTTTAAATAGTTGTTTTTCTGCATGGTTGTGACTTATAGAATTTGTAATAGAGTATACTTATGCAATCATTACTGACAAGAATCCATGTGTCTTTTAGTAGATTTAATTCACTTGTCATAATCATGGCATAGGAGAAATCTCAGTACCAATAAAAATGTAGACTACATCATGGAAAATGCTTTGTATGATATTTATTCACTCATTGAGGCTTATCTGAAAAGAATGTGTGAGCACAGCGAACGGATGAGAATTCAACTTGTGAATGAAAATGGTATGCGCACATTTTTCATGAAGTACAATTGAGCCCTGCCATTTTGAACTCTCAGGGGACATGAAAAATAGTTCGAAATAGCCGATAGTAAATGACTAAAAGATGCTGTTATACTGTAATTTATGACTTTACAGTTCAAAAATAACAGGGAGTTCAAATTAGCGGGGTCCAACTGTAGTAGGGATTAGCTAAAATTGCAAGCAGTTGTCACTGCTAATTTAACTCCTAATTTAACTTATATTTTCAGTTAATATACCAAGTGTATGTGGCAATTAATATTTAAAAGAAATATTTGTTATTAGCACAGTGAAGTACAAAATTAATATATTCATGAGATCAACCATGTGAAAGTGTAGGGAAAGTTGTCAAAAAATGTGACTTGGACCCCTAAAGGAGATTAATCTAGGTGTTATCTGGGTGTGGCTCAAGTTTTAGTTGATCCCTAAAAGATGCTAGAATACAGAGTATGTGTTGTGGTTTAACATTACCCTTGGTATGATTTACACAATTTGCTGTTTTGCTTTGTGCGTTTAATTTATCCAGGGTAACGCAATTCCTTGATCTGATCACTTTTTTCCTTTTTGTTTTTGTGTATAAGGATTGCTTAGAGTACCTTTTTCCATCCAGGTGTTTAAACGAGCAAAATATAATCATAACAGACATTTATTGGGCAGCCTGTAATAGACTTGCATCAGCTCCCTATGTAATAAATAAATATGCAAATGTTTGCCAACACCTTTCATTTAGTTCGTGACCTTATTGGTTATTTTTTATTTACCACTTAGTTACAAATTAAAAGTAAAACCAAGCATTATTTTATTTACATCATTTTAAACCTGTTGTCATTTGTAATTGAAAGTTTTTAGTTTTAGTGTAAAGTTTGAGTATAATTGCTAAATAAAGGATAGGGATTGAAGGACAATAAACGATACTGTAGTGATTACTGTAGTGATTGTTTTTACAGCCCCCCCCCCTCCACCTATATCACGAAGAAATTTCCACCTTCCCCCCCCCCCTCAATATCTCTGTTTCCTTGCGCCCCTCGTCATGTTAAATGACTTTTTCCTTGCTGCTATTTAATAGCCTGCGAACAGGCTCCCGGTGAGCCCGAGCGAGGGAGCCTCCCCTGTCCCCGTCCCGGTCGCTTTGCTCTCCGAACTCTTCTGTTTCGCGCTCGCCGAAATTTTTTTACGTCCTCGCCGGGAGCCTGTTCGCAGGCTACTATTTAATAAATAGACTTCATGTTGCTGTGGGTCTGTGCAGTGCTAGATCACGGCTGAGTGTCGACCAATACATGGCCAATATATCAGCCGACAGTCGGTCGAGTGTCGGTCGAATGTTGGTTTTGTATCTGTTGGGAGTTGGTCGATATGTCAGTTGAGAATTGGGCAAAATGTTGTATGTGTGTCGACATATTGACCGATACTCGATCGACAATCGACCGATACTTTACCGACACTCGACCAGTTGTCGGGCGCTGCCGACGTATTGGCTGAGTGTTGGTCTATATATCTGTCATAGTGTTGTCCGACGTCATTACCTACAGTAAACATCCTAATAAAGAAACAAAGATGTTAGTGAAGTCATCTATATATCTGCCCTCCAATATATAATCATTAGGAACCAATCAAAACGCAAGAATAATGAACAATTATTGGATGACGTTTTTGTGATATCCGGAATAATCAAAGTCGAGGGAAGTGTTATCAGCCGAAGCCGAAGGCTAGCCTGCGTAGCAAGCGTTTCTGTGGGGTTTGGGAGCAAAGAATTACAGCGCGAAAAATGGAGCGAGATCCCCCTCTTTCTTTTTTTTGGGTCTCGCCCCATTTTCCGCGCAGACAAAACACCAAAAATCCCGTTCCTCGGTCTTTCTTTGCTTCCAAACCCCACGGAANTAAATGTTTAGAAATGTACTATGTTTCATAAAGGTAAGACACTGATTTAATGGCTGATACTTTATTTTAAGATGCTTAGTCCATTGTCTTAAATAAATTGGTGACTCAATGTTACTCGCTCGCTGATAGAGCTTCAAAACAAGATCTCGACAGTGTCTCGAGCTGGAAACAGCGGACTAATCAACAAAAACAGTCAACACTTTCGACCATGTGCTTTCTTGTTTATTACACGTATACCACAAGGGCTATGGGAGTTACAACTCTATGGGGATTATGGGTCACGACCCTCACACTCTCCTCCCCTCAAAAAAATGTCCTCAGTGACATGTCAAAACTAAACTGCTTACAATATCTCTGAGTCCTATGAATCTTATACGTAATACTTCTGGTAGACATAAATCAAATTCATTTCGGCGGGTTGCGTGGGTCCACAGAACACATGATAAACAGCTAATCTTCAAGTTATCACACTTTGTAAAAGTGTTGACAGAAATCCTTGTTCCTTCAATGATGGCACAAAGTACTTATTACGTTAATGCTAACATGTTCACTTGGTCCTATTTTTTGATAAACAACAAAGTTAGAAAAACAATGTTGTCATGCAGTGTCTTGGTAATGGTTTATATATCCTCCAAAACTGTCCTAGTGATTACCAGCTAACTGGGTACAAAGGAATAGTTGGAAATCATACTGTGGACAGTACCAAAGTGGTTGGTGGTGAGGTGGCATGCCTAGCCACATTGGAAGCAGATTTGGTGCAGCTGAAACTGTATGCATATGATTAGTTACTCCTGGATAAAATGAAGGCTGGCCAGGGACATCATACGTCGTATGGACAGGTGGTCTTCTGATTTGTGGCTGTCAGGTTTCGACGGGTTGAGATGTAGGAGATTGGGACCGCTCGGGTTCTACACGAGGAGTGTACTCATTCCGCAAGTCATTGACAGGTAGCTCAGGTTCTACTTCCAGTAAGTGGTCAGCAGTACCATCGGTAGCTACAGAATCCTGTGTACCTAACTCTTCTGTTCCTGGGTGTTCAACAGTGTTACTTGGATGTTTGACCTGCAGTTGGTCAGGTGTGAAGGATGGGATGTCTTCATCATCATTGGCCTTACTGACTGGACAATTTGTAGGTTGATTCTGCTTGCTGAGCTTTGACAAAGGATTTCTATTTCGCTGTCCAGCACTGTCTTTATCCCTGGGTCTTACGTCAGCCTTTTCACTGGCAAGTATGTGTAAGGTAACAGTAAGTTGCGGTGCAGCACTCTTTTCTTTGTCCTAGACTCGGATCAGACTTCGTATACTGGGGTGTCTTGACCTTTTTGTTCTACGATGACATACACTTCATTTTCCCAATACGATTGCAGCTTTCATGGTCTTCCTCATTCACTCAAGTTTTGGACAAACACTCTATTGCCTGGTTCCAGCACAATCCTGCACACCTTCTTGTCATACTGCTTCTTCCCCTGCTGGGCATTCCACTGGGCAGTTTCTGAGGCAATCTTGAATGCCTCTGACATAGCATTAAATTTTCTCCACTTCTTTACCTACTTGGGGTAGTAATGAAACCCACTGGGAGGCTTAAGATTGAACATCAGATCAACAGAAAGGCGTGGGGCTCTCTCAAATAGTAGGAAGAATGGTGCGTAACCTGTGGCATCATTCTTTGTACAGTTGTACGCATGTACCACTTTATTCAGATGATTGCACCATCTGGACCTGTGCTTTTCAGGCAGAGTCCTGAGCATGGATAGGAGTGTCCTATTGAGTCTTTCTACTTGTCCATTTCCTTCTGGATGATACGGTGTTCTTCTAGAGTGACGGGCTCCAATAAGTTTGTCCAACTTGTAAAACAGTTTATTTTCAAATTCACCGCCCTGATCATGGTGGATTGTTTCTGGGAGTCCAAACCACAAAATGAAATCATTGTATATCTTTTCTGCAACTGTTTTTGTAGACTTATCTTTGGTTGCATAAGCCTGAGTGTATCGTGTGAAATGATCCATAACGACCAAAATGTATTCATAACCTCCTGTACTTGCTTCAAGGTGGAGGAAATCCCCTGATACCATCTGAAAGGGTGCTGTGAAATTAACTCAGTCTTGTCTTCTTTAACATCTTTGAATGGCAGTGGAATGCCAACTAATATCTCAATGATGGCTTGGAGAAAGGTCACATTTTCCTCTTCCTCAAATTACCTGTTAACTCTTTCTCAATAACATTAGCGATTTTATTGATGATCGGAACCTTTGTTTTGTCGTTCAATTCCTCTTCATTTATCTTCAAATGCTATTGCAACTAGCTAGGTATTTTCCATGGTTGCTTTGCACAGTTCTGTGTGGATTCTTAATTGAAGCTCCTCTGCCATCTCTTACTTGAACTTTTATCGTGACACTTAACTCGACAACATTGTTTCCCCCAGACCACCCCATTGCGGGAATCCCGCGTTGCAATCTCTATGGTCCCAGGAAAAACAATAAAAGGGCCAATTTGGCCCTTTCCTTTTACACGGCTGCAGGCTTACCACAGGCATAGTATTTTAAAAGCCATCCCAGAGCTCAAAATTGCGAACGATACGGTCGCCAATACAACTAACATTTCATCTATGGCAACCAAAAATTCTGGTTTAGTCGCCATATAGGCGACTACATTTCTCTGTGTTGACAATCAATAGTGGTTATTTTCTCACACATTATGTCCTTCTAGAAAACCATATTGAAAGATCTTTGCTTCTAAAACATTCAACATAAGAAAAGAAGTCGGTCCATCCTTTTGGTTGCTGTATTGATTCTCTTATATCGGAAAACTTCTAAATGGCTGACTGTGCTTGAAATCACCCTATAATGCATTGCAAACCCTTGATGATTGACTACGTCATGTATGCCAATGGATAGTTTTCTTGAATGCACGGGTCCAAAAAATGTGCATTTGGCGACTTTTTTTTACCAATTATTATTTATTGGCCCCTTTCTCAAAAATTGGCCCCTATAAAAGGTCTTCAGGGACAACTTTGGCCCTCAAGTAAAATTTCTGGCTGAAACACTGGATAATACAGGTTTTTAGTCTCTATCCTCGTCTGGTTGGTTGCATCATCATCAACAGAACAGTTCAGTGGGTGTGCAGCCATATTTGCATCACTCGTTGACATCGGCTGGTGTTTGGACATGTAAATGACGGCATTCTTTCCTTCTATCAGCTGAACTGCCCGGTTGGAAACACCAATTTTGTTACTTGCTCGCTGATAGAGCTTCAAAACAGGATCTCAACAGTGTCTCAAAAGGGAAACAGTGGACTAATCTGCAAAAACAGTCAACACTTTTGACCATGTGCTTTCTTGTTTATTACACTTCTACCACTAGGGCTTATGGGAGTTACAACTCTAGGGGGATTATGGGTCACGACCCTCACATCAATTTATTGATTCGATCCATTACTGTATTTGAAGTACCAATACAAATATGTAGGTATGCATCATAGGGTGATTTTACAGTTTATGGTTGATTCAAAGTTAAGTACTGGTAAGTCTGGATCATCAGTGGTACAGCACACATTCTCTCTTGTGATCATTTTTATAGGCGTAACCATAAAGGGTATGATATAACTCATTTTTTAAATCCTAATTATTATTATACAAGTTAATATATTTGAAGGAAATCAAAGCCGTATTCTTCAGCGAAGTGCAAATTTCTCAATTGGTTTGAGATATCTTTGATGGTATTTTTAATGCTCAACTGAAACTTTTTAAGCTGTATATAAATACAATAATAAAATTGTTTCTCTGTTTTCATTCAGTTGCTTTCCTTGCTGTTACTGTTAACAGACACATTCAGCATGTCCTCTTTTGTACATCAATTTTCAGGTTATTGAACCAAGACATGGAATTCCTTCCACAATGAAATATAATTTATTACCAGGAAGAGCAATGTACCAGTATCTAATATTGTAAATAACTGCAGTTTAACTACAGTGTTAATATATTTTGGGGGTTATGCCACAGCAGAGGAATCTGGTTTTAGCACTGGGTGGGGTTTGATGCAAATGGTCA